CTCCCAAGAAACTTCATGATCATGGAGCCGGCTTATCCTTTCCAAGGAGCCAGCCGTAGTAAAGTAAAGTAAGTAAGTAATCCTTCTATGATGAAATTGACCAGGAATGGCAAAATAAGACACCCTTGACGAACATCTCTGGTAGTTACAAACGACCTACTAACCTCGCCATAGACGCCACCAGAATTATGGAAGTACATGGGCCTCAGTATGCTCACGTACTCTTGTAGCGTTCCTTTGCGAAAGAGCGAACCCTTAAGGGCTCAGCGGTCAGCTGAGTCGAAGACTCCTTTTAGGTTAAGGAACACGATAACGTTGGTCGACCATTTGTATGGCATAGTTTGGGGACTTGACGCAGCGTGAAGATTTGGTCGATATAACCGCGTCCTGGTCGAGATCCTGCTTGTTACGCAGTAGCACACGTTTGACCGAGGAGAAAATAGAGTTGAAAATGATTGCGGNCATTTAGGTAAAACCAAAAAGTAATAAAGCGAAAACAGAAAAGTTACGAAATGGAAAATTGATTAATCAAGTGGGTCTAACTAGTTGGTTAATATAGTGCTCCAACCTTTAATGTGCGTTGACAACTGATTCAGAGCGCGCGAGGTTAATGGCTACTATCGATTCCGCTCCTACTGTTACTTGCTTTATTCCCATTTTTGTCTAACTTTTCCCTCTTTATTTTTTGCCATCTATCAAGTTTACCTAACATGAGAGTGGCTTGTTAACTTGATTTTGACTGGGTGATAAGTTGGTTGCTTGTAATTGTCTCAGCTCCATATCGTATCTTCGGTTCTCCTTTCAGTCATAGCTGATGAAGCAACCAGTTGTACCCGAGGATGAACTACCTGTCTCCTTGCTTCAAGTTCGTGCTGATGTTGAACGCGCCTACTTTGATTGTCAAATACGAGGCCTTACACAAAGTTGTAAATGGCTAGGTGATCTCTTGTGCGCTCTGGATGAAACCGGGACCAATAAAGCTTCAAATTTTTCTAGTAAATACAAGTTACCTTCCCAATTCCTCTATCACTGATTTCTAGTTGGAGTAACTGACTTCCCATGGAACAGCATTCCGAAAGAACACACTGCTAAGTTCCTGTTCGCTCGAAGCTTGTTAGATGCCCGCGAATATGACCATTGCGCTCAAATTTTAAGCACTTTGGTTAGCCCATTTGTCCGCGCCTCAGATGGTGTAAAATCATTGGGAAATTGTCACCCCCTGATTTGCTTTCTCTATATTTATTCACGATATATGGCATGCGAGCGGCGCAAAGCAAACGACGAAGTAGAACTACGTCGCGTTTTCGAACCAGATGGCAGCGCTAAACCGTCTCAAGTTGCTGTAACTCGCGCACGCAAAGAACTATCCGCGTTGCGACGTGAGATTGAAACTTATGTGAAAGTGAATGCAGTTGAGGAAAAGCGATCAGAACAACAAAAATCATCAAACACAGACGTTACTCATTACGACCCGTTTGTTCTCTACGTGTGTGCATTGGTCTATTGCCGATTGGGAATGGAACCAATTGCGATAAAGTTACTGGTCATGGCTATTCGCCTGAATACGTGCTTATGGCCAGCTTGGTTCGAACTGTCACAGTTAATCAAAGATAGAGAGCAAATGACTGCGTTGAAGATACCCTCGGGACCGGATATTTGGATGAATTATTTTTTTGAAGCAAAGGTAGGTTGAGGTTTGTTGTCTAGGCAACTTTCCCGCTTGATTGAATTTCGATCGTCTACCATAAACTTGAGTTTTTCCTTAAAATTATACTTTTATGTCTGTAATCTAACTCGAATAAAGATCACTCACAGTGCATATTTGAAATAGTTATAGCCATGTGAATGTTCGCTGTTTAATGGGAGCCGTTAAAAATCTGTTTGGTCTTTTAATCAGCGGTATGTAGTGTGTGTGCGTGTGTGTGTTTCACACGTATGATTCCAAACAATGTACTAAACAAACCACAGTACAATAATCTTTATTCCGAAGAAATTGGTCCATGAGTTGCTCGTGGGCAGAATACCAGAATACTACTGGAATTTTTAGACAGGTGAATTTTCCACTCGTTAACTCTTCCTACGAATAACAGAGGACGAGAATAAAACGATCGTTGACACGCATGTAGTGGTATAGTCAAGTGCTTTATTATTGTCCTCTTCTGCTTAGAAAGATTTGACTAATGCGGAGTTACCTTTTATAAGAACAATTATTTCGATTGATCGACTTCGACCATGTTCCATCCGCGGAAGGCCTCGGCAAACATGGTGTATCGTGGCAAATTATTTCGTGACATGCGCAAC